AGTCTCAAGAGATCTTGCAAAATAAAAAATATATTTAGCATTAATTAATATAAATATCTAGCGCCGGCACTAGGATTCTCAGCGCCCGCATACAATTTTTATCCTAGCACGGTTTATGTCTCCGTTAGATTATTTATTATAATGTATTAAGTATTCTATAAATTCTATATTTTAATAAAATTATGGTATACATATATATATCCGAATCTCGTGACGCCCCCTTTGACGAGGCGCCCAGTTTCCTCCGGCCCTGTAAATATCCATTCCCCGTGACCCTTTCAATTTGGGGAGGGTATAATTACGTTTTGTAAACAGATGTCCATGTTTTCTTGCCATAAGTACAACAGTTAAATTCAATTCAACACTTAAACAAAACTGTATTTCGGGAATTACAACTATTAAGTTGCATAATTAAATTTCTAGGTTACGTTTTATACATACTTATATTCTATTTTGTATATAAAGGCATATTTAATAATAAATTTTAAAAATATTTATTGACAAATCATTATAGTAATAATATAATATAAGTCATAATTAATTATGGCCATCAATCACTTTGCATTTAAAGACAATAATAAAATATCCATTATTATACATCGCTGATGAAATGCGAAAGGGCCACAACGCAAAAATGACAAACTATTTTTTGTAAATCTAAATCGTTATAATTTTTATATTAAAAAAAGACACCCATAATTCTAGAAGTAATACATAGATATACCACTTATAGATTCGTAAAAAAAGTAAAAATATCACAGTGAAAATTTTGATTTGCTCTGCTATAAAATTTACCGTTTTCGTCATGTGGCTTTGGCATATAATCAGCGATATATAAAATAATAATCTAATATTATGCTGAATAATCACTTAAGTTGAATACAAATTAAAATTAAGAGAAACATAAGATTGTGTAAACACAGCCAAGTACATTAAAACTCCTTAATAAAACGTTTTTTAAACATTCCTATATGTTTTCTAAATAATATATTGTATAAATTTTTTATATATTTACATCAATAAAAACCCGTTGTTTATTTAAATTAATAAGCCCTCACTGGACATTGCATTGAATAAACACAAACTTAGGCCTGTGCTCAATAAAAATCTGCATATTATGCTAAGTTGAGAAAATGCCACTACACATCCTATGTGGTTGTAGCCCACTCATGCATAAATGAAATATCTCCTTTGAAAAATACTTACACTCTATTCTGAGATAAAAGCCATCGCTACTAAGAATATTCTTCAATTCTTGTCTCTGAAAGGTCTAGATGGAGAAATTTAAAAATCACAATATCTATGTAGGTGGGGGGGGGGGGGACTGTTAGTAATGTGGACTAATGATCTTGTTGCTAACAATGTACCATGTCAGGTCGACCTCCACGCGGTTCCCCCTGGAAACCATCGTGATAAATTTCCGGTGAATTTGACACGATGGGCTAACTGATATGACTTCATATTCATCCTATCATCCTCCACTGGTGCCCCGCCAGCATAAACCGTTAGCGCAGGCACCATTCCATTATCTTCTAAAAAAAATATCTATGTAGGTCGCAATGCTAAAGATCTAAGCACTGGGCAATAGCCCAAAAACCTCAATAAAAAAAATCTATAGGTAGGTACTAATATTACAAACAGTGTCTCTCTCTCAACACAGTTTATAATGAGGAAATTAACTCAAGAACCTATTAGTGAATTTTTTTCAAAGGTACATTATTCCAGAATGACATGTTAATATAGCAGGACCTAAGTCGGCGGCTAAGTCAAAATATGCTTTATTTTAATAGGATTATAGTTAATAATAAATTCTTTCCATAAATCCACTTGCAACTTGGGCCTTGAGTGTAGTTTTACTTTATCACATATTTTGCTATATTCAATTGCCTACATTCTATTATATAGGTTACTACGGAATATCATATTAATTATTTAGTGTAATAATGATTTTTTATATGATGTGCCTACATGTACTTATATTTCTGTCAACACTCTGCACCCTTCCATTTGTTTACATCTCCACATAACATAAGTTAAGTGTGAAGTCAGTCCGCATTACGCGTACCGCGTACGCATTACTAATAAGGCATGGAGCACACTATCAAATAAACTTACTAATGTAGTTCAATTATTACACCTGTACACTCACTACCTAGATTCTACAGGAAACAAATGAAGTAGCGACACCTCACCTCCTTACATCTCCTTACATAATGGTCGGGCCTGGAAAGGATTGCCTCCGTTTATAACCTGGAACCCGACTTTGGAGAAGATAGCTCAGTTTTTAAAGATGAGGTAAAGTAAAATGCGTACAATGGCTAGCTTGCATAAGGTATACACTTATAATAAATCTGTAGAGAGATCAATTCTGTACATGAAATATATTTCCAAATAATTATTAGGGGGTGATCAGTGATCGATACTGATGCAATCAGTAAAATTTTTGTCTGTCTGTCTGTATGTTCGTTAAAGAAACAAAAACTACTCGACGGATTTTAACGAAACATGGTACAATTATTCTTCATACTCCTGGGCAGGTTATAGTATACATTTCATCACGCTACGATCAATAGGAGCAGAGCAGTGAAGGGAAATATTAGGAAAACACATCAAAAGCATTGAACCGTGAGGAAGGACATAGGCTACTTATTTTACGAAAAACGCAGACGAAGTCGCAGGCAACAGCTAGTATATAATATAACGCTACAGCGGTGAGATGATACATATAGCTCTACAGTATCGTATTATTCATTCATGATTTAAGAGGGACGCTGATCCCAAATAAATGGGATAAGGAACAAGTAGATGATGATGCTTCTTATCCCATTGGAGTCAGTGGAGCTCTTGCCACTTTCCACCACCTTCCATCTTTAAACGTTGTTACGTTGATACCACATAATAGGTGTAAATATTCTATCAAATATTTTATTTCGCATTAAAGTACAGTACAATAATATAATTAGGTATAATGTAAACAATGGACTTATCTGTAAAGGAGATAATCATTTATTCAAATAAACTTCTTCCAGTCATTACATTTTTTAATTACAATCACAAGAAGAAAGCAAGAAACTTGCGTGTTGCTCTTTTAAATAATTTATTATTACTTTACATTTTTAAGTTTAAGTGTGTGAATACAAACCACCAATTAGCACTAATTCTATTAAATACTCATAGAAATAATATTGAATATATAACCAACTGGAGTCCAAGCCAGAACTGCGCTAGACATTTTTTAATCAAAAACTGTCGTCAAAGCTACTTACAATTGCTATCTGATAGGGAGAGGTTTCACATTTTACATAAGAATGCATGCGGCAATCAATGGCTTTCATATTTCTAAAATCAATCAATTAAATCAAGAAAGCAATGAGTAAATTATAACGTACTAATAAACTAGCTTGATACTATGACTATCCTGTAATAGGCTTTCTTACACAAAAATTGTTTAATATAGGATTTGAATTGCCTCTCTGTCAGATTTAGTGCAGATTCTGGCAAATAATTACAAAACATAAAAGATTAGACAACATTCGACCAAAGAACTAGTTTTAATAATTGTCGACCTCGGTGGTCTACCGGTTTAGTACACCGCTTTACGACAGATGGTCGCGGGTTCGATTCCTCGTACGGCACAAACAATTGTATTCATGAGTATGTTTGTTTGTATCGTACTGGGTGTTTTCTATGTATAATATGAATGTATGTACAAAAAAAATCTATGTATATGTATCAGTTGTCTAGTACCCATAACACATGTTTTAGCTAGGTTAACTTGGGTCTAGATGGAGCTGTGTGAATTGTACTGAGATTATTATTATTATAATATACTTATATCTAGAATGTCTGACATTAGGCACCGAACTTATACATTATATGCAACAATTGTATAAACTAGTCAATAAATATAAAGAAAAACCTAAAAAATGCAAACACTAAAGTATATCAAACTGTATCAAAATATCTTTATTCATATAGGTCTATTACAGACACCTATAATAAACCACGCATCGAAATATTAGAAATGGACAATTATTATCTATACATATAAATAAAATTGGAGTGTCTGTTTGTAAAATTGAAATAAACTTACTCCCATACCTTACCTTACTTAACCGTACTCCTTATTACAGCTACCTGCCAAAAAAGTCCCGTCAATATCGGTCCAGCCATTTTAGAGATTAGCCGGAACAAACAGACCGACAGACAGACAGACAAAAATTGTAAAAAATGTTATTTTGGTGTATGTACAGCATTTATATTCATATGCATGTAGCAAAAAACGGTTATTTCAATATTACAAACAGACACTCCAATGTTATTTATATGTATAGATGTATAGATAATGTAGGCAATTGCTGCCACATTCTTTCACGCGGAATAAGTAGTCCGCGATTTATCGCGGGAAAGTCACCGCACTCGTGAGGAATTGCATTTTACTGTTTTTTTTTTGTTTCACTTTTTCGCGCGTATCTATACTAGGACCAAGTGATTCTTTATCCAAATATCTATAGGTGTCTGTAATACCACAGATAACATAATATTACATATTAATACGAATTTTGTTTTCGTACTCGAACGCTGTTGGCCGTAGATTGCCTTAACAGCTTATTTTTCGTAACAAAAATATAAACATCATCCACTGCAAAGTCTTAAGATCCACAGCAAAGACTGACAGTAATTTAGTATTTAGAATAGCCACTGGCTGAAAAGCGTCCACTCTGTATAACTTCTTTATTCCGCGTAATTAGTATATTAAATGTTTATAATATAATACGTACTAAATAAAATGTTATTAATTCTATTTAAACCCTTATCCACTAGTGGTAAAATAACTAACTAGTGCAAATGAGTGCAATGGGTTTAAATTGACTACTTTCATATTTTAATACTAATGTTCTACTTGTTTACTCCAGAATTCAATTCCGATCCAATGATATTGGATTGCGTAGTTTTGCACCTTTTCGTATTAAATTCAAAATAAGATCACTTCCAACTAACATTTTATTGATATTTGGTTTAGTCTTGATTCTGTTTCAAATGAACCGTTCAAAAATGGTTTGTATTAAAATCCAAAGTAGTTAGTTAGTAGTTTAAACTCAAAAGTAGAACTGCAGTTCAAAAGAACATTAAAATTAAGAGATCATAAGCGTTACATACACATTTTAACTTGTCTTTTCGTCTTCTTTCTTCTTGTTTTCGTTAGCCTTCATGAACTCAGGATTGTAAGGAGGGTTCGATTCGATGTCGCCATTATCTGCAATTAATGATTTGAGTTTATTACTATACTAGCTGTTACTCACGGTGCTGCTCGCGTGAATTCAAGTAAAAGGTTTATCCAAATATATAAATTTTAATATTTTACTATTATTATAATATTTTACTATATATAAGTAAGAAACGAAGAAGTACTACACAGGGTAAAAGAAAAAAGGCAGATATTGAACACAATAGAAAATAGACGAGGAAAAATGTTAGGACACTTGATACGGCACGATGATTTCATGAAAATTATTATTGAGGGGAAATAGAAGGAAAGAGGGGGAGGGGAAGACCAAGACATAGCTACATCAAACAAATTGAGGACAAAATGGGAGTCGTGTCGTATCAAGAATTAAAGAGCATGATGGAAGATCGCGGAGAGTGGCAAGAGCTCCACCGACAAGAGCGTAGCTCTTAAATTATGAATGAATGAGTGAACTATTATTATACCAGGAGACCATAGGTGATAAGAGATATATTCAACTAATACTAGATTAACTAAAAAAATACTTTGGAAATTCCACTCTAAAGTTATAAGGTTATATGTAACATTACTGTTGTTAAGGAACAGTAGCACAGTACTAAATTTAAATGTGATGGTTTTAAAGACTATTTACTTACTAATCATTTTAATACGAGGTGAAACTCAGGTCGCTGATGGTAAAAGACATAATTTTGAAACTGACACTAATATAGAACAAAGGAAAAAAGGTATTTAAAATGTATATATAACAAATGTAGGTATAATCAGATGAGCACAGACGGATTAAACATTTTCGTTTCAGCTAATGTGCTTGTTAATACTCATAGTATTAACATCGCGCATACTGCCATAATGCGCTCGCTATCCTACTGCGGCTGCGCGGCGCGCCGTGATATATTATGAATCTGTGGCGCGTTGCGTTAGCGCGGGAAAAACTATCTACAAAAATAACTTCTACAGACATTCTTCAACTATTGTACTTCTGATTACTAATTATCTTATACTCTTCTATATAACATTTTCGTTTCAGCTAATGTGCTTGTTAATACTCATAGTATTAACATCGCGCATACTGCCATAATGCGCTCGCTATCCTACTGCGGCTGCGCGGCGCGCCGTGATATATTATGAATCTGTGGTGCGTTGCGTTTGCACAGGAAATACAGTCTACAAAAGGACTTCTTCTACAGACATTCTTCAACTATTGTAGTTCTGATTACTAATTATCTTATACTCTTCTATATAACATTTTCGTTTCAGCTAATGTGCTTGTTAATACTCATAGTATTAACATCGCGCATACTGCCATAATGCGCTCGCTATCCTACTGCGGCTGCGCGGCGCGCCGTGATATATTATGAATCTGTGGCGCGTTGCGTTAGCGCGGGAAAAACTATCTACAAAAATAACTTCTACAGACATTCTTCAACTATTGTACTTCTGATTACTAATTATCTTATACTCTTCTATATAACTATATATGTTCGAAATTTACTTTTATTTTAATAAACTTCTTATATACAAACAAAACTGGCAGATAAATAAAGCCCCTAATCATACCGAACAGCCTAATCTATACATCTAAATATATATAACTCAAAGGTGACTGACATAGTGATCTATCAACGCGCAGCCCAAACCACTGGACGGATCGGGCTGAAATTTGGCATGCAGGTAGATGTTATGACTTAGGCATCCGCTAAGAAAAGATTTTGTTTAATTCTACCCCCAAGGGGATAAAATAGGGGATGAAAGTTTGTATGAAACTTTGTCAATTTTAAACCGATCGGGCTGAGATGCATAAAGCTACTATGACGTAGGCATCCCCTAAGAAAGGATTTTGATTAATTCTACCCCCAAGGGTATAAATTAACGCGAGCGAAGCCGCGGGTAAAAACTAGTCTATACATATAAATAAAATTGGAGTGTCTGTTTGTAATATTGAAATAACCATTTTTTACTACATGCATATGATGAATATTTATACGGTACATACACCAAACTAACATTTTTTACAATTTTTGTCTGTCTGTTTGTTCCGGGTAATCTCTGAAATGGCTGGACCGATTTTGACGGGACTTTTATTGGCAGTTAGCTGATGTAATAAGGAGTAATTTAGGCTACTTTTATTTTAGAAAAATAAAGTTGAATTCCACGCGGACGAAGTCGCGGGTTTAGCTAGTACGAAATATAGTACTCGCATAATTTTTTTAAAGTACAAAAAAAAGTACAAAGTTTTTGAGTTATCGACGGTTAACAATGGCCCTGACAAAGGGAAGGGGATTGTTAGACTATGGACATGTGGACAATAACACCATTGCTAGCAATGTACCATGTCTGGTTACCCTCCACGTGATTCCCCCTGGAAACCATCGTGGTAAATTCCTGGTGAATTTACTACGATGGGCCAACTGGCCTGACCTTATGCTCATCCTATCATCCCCCACTGGTGCTCCGCAGCGTAAACCAACAGCGCAGGCTGGTGCACCATTCCATTATAATAATAATAATAATAATATTTCAGGACAATTCACACAGCGCCATCTAGTCCCAAGCTAAGCAGAGCTTGTGTTATGGGTACTAGACAACTGATATAAATACATGGATACATTTTTGTAAATAAATACATATTATACATAGAGAACACCCAGACCGATACAAACAATCATACTCATGAATACAAATGTTTGTACCGTGCGAGGAATCGAACCCACGACCATCGGATAGTAAAGCGGTGTGCTAAACCACTAGACCACCGAGGCTGTCATTATCATCCATAAGAATGGCTGTGACAACCCTATCTGTTTCACGTATGGACTCACCGTTATCATCCGGTTTTGCGGCGGGTGGCGCACTGGGAGCAGGGCTGGCGCTCTGCACAAATGATATTTATATAACTAAAGCTTAATAATATTATTAACGGTAAAGTTTGTGAGTATGGATGTTTGTTACTCTTTCACGCAAAAACTACTGAACGGATTTTGATGAAACTACAGTAAAATAGCGTATGCATCAGAATAACAGTTAGGCCTTATTTTATATTGAAATATAAATAGGTGAAACGACAGGCGCAGCTAGTAAGTAATAAAGAGTAACGTTGAAGTTGCATAGTAGTCTACAGTGAATACCCATATAAGCTATCAGATGCTGCCGCTATGGCATGGTCGCCCCTGGCGGTGCCTGATGGCTCCAAAGTTTTGCACGCTATATCTCGGGCCCTCAAAACCGGCACTTGACCAAACGATCCTATTAATTACTAGTTGACCCGCGCAACTTTGTCTGCGTTTTATTTCACCACCTTCTGCAATTTCACTGCGGTTCGACTCCTATTCGTCGTAGCGTAATGTTATATAGCTTAAAGCCTTCCTCGACAAATGGACTATCCAAAACGACAAAGATTTGAACCAATAGTTTTTAGATTATCGCGTTCAAACAAACAAACTCTACAGCTTTATAATATTAGTGCAGATGATGCATATCCCAAAACCAATTATTTCAATGTAGACCGTTATGCAGTGCTTAGTGAGGGCTAAGCTTCGCGTTACTCTTTTAAATTACAATGTCAAAATCCTAATAATAAGCCGGATGGTTAACAGCACCATCTAGTCCCAAGTTAAACAGAGCTAGTGTAATGGGTACTAGACCATCGATATAAATACTTAGATACATTTTTTTTGTAAATACATAATTAATATACATACAAACACACCCAGAGCAATATAACCGATGAGGATCATTAAATGTTTGCACTGCGAAGAATCGAACCCACGACTATCGGAAGTATTATCAGTTCTGCCAGGGTCGCCATGTAAGAGTGGTACTTGATAGGCAAGAAATCGAGTTAGTATATTGTTTGTTTAGTGTTAAAATCAGTACTTTTGTACTAGTTAGTTATTTAGTACATACGAGTACATCCTTACAAAGATACGCTAAACCGCTAGGCCAGGGAAACCTTCGTCAAACTTTTTTCCTCAAAAATTTTGAGGAAAAAAACGCAGTCGTCATGGACGACGTCAACACACTTTCTCATTTATAATGTTAATACAGTCAATAGTTTCGTTTGGTAAAAACTCACCCGAGGTAAAGGTACTCTAGCTCCATGTGGCAGTAGTGGAATCGTGACCTCATCTTGAGTTCCAACTGGGAAACCTATAGTGCCAGACTGTACCCGTGTGGTTGAAACCGGAGGGTTAGGGTATGGTGATGTGGAACCCGGATAAGGGCTAATCCCAACCGGATATGGCGGTTTTTGTCCTGGATAGGATGAATTATTAGAAGGGTATGGTTGATTTGCTGGAGGGTAAGGAGAGTTGCCAGGATGCGGAGAATTTGGACCGGGGTATGGCGAATTTCTGCCAGGATAAGGCGACCTTTGAGGAGGGTATGGCGAGGTTTGACCAGGGGATGATGAGTTTGTGCCAGGATATGGCGAGTTCGGACCGGGGTAAGGTGAGTTTTGGTTGGGGTATTGAGAGTTTTGGCCGGGATATGGAGGATTGGCGCCAGGGTATGGGGGATTTGCGCCAGGATAAGGTGCTGCGCCCGGGTAAGGGGGATTTGCGCCAGGATAAGGTGCTGCGCCCGGATACGGGGAAACTGTTGGTAAAGGCTGGTTAATAATTGGTGTTGGGTACGCCGTGTTGTTCCCTGGGTAGTTCTGAACTTGTGTTGTAATTATGGGTTGTTGCGGCATCTGGTCTTGCATGGGATTCTGTACGTTATCTTGGTAACCGACCAGAGGAACTGTGCCTAAGATGAGCAGGCAAGAGTCTTCAGTATCGTCGTGACAACCTTCTGGGGATACAGTTACCTGCAGAAAGTAAAAATATGAATTAGAACCAAATCAAAATATCTCTATTCATGTAGGACTATTACAGAACCTTATGATATGTCAAATTTATCGTTGCTTATATGTTATATCGCTTTCGAGATAAGAACTGGAAAGAAACTCGGCTCCAATTATTTTTAAATAAGCTATGTACAAACTTATGTAAAAGATCATTACAAATATAGAGATTAATTTTTAAATGTAATTTAATTATGTATACATTTAAATTATTAATACTTGTTTTTCAGATCTGTTACTAGCTGGCGCTAGTAAAAAAATTTCAACGGGCTAATGTTTGACTTTCGTCCCAACCCATGTATAGGTATTGTATTATTTTTATATTCCCCTCCAATCGATCCCCCGTCCAATTTATACGGCATCGAAATTTCGACGGCCTGAGCCGAGGTTTGAACACCTAGTGGGTGCCCTCAGACTAAAACTAAAGTTGTATCCGTCAGGCGAGAGTTGGCCTACTCCATAAGTCCTTCCGCGGGTTTGGAGTGTCATCTGCACTCGCACTCTATCGTCCAGTAAAGCTGTAAAGGCCAGCTACGGACAACAGCACTAGAGTAGTCCGAAAAAAAAGCGACCAGGCTTTTTTGGTCATGGCGGTGACGATTATACACAGTATTAACAGTTATCTGTTCTATTGTAGTGCCCTCTATAGTAAACTGTGTTAAACATGTTTTTATTACGCACAGCCTAACGCCATCTCTTGTATTAATTTTGATTGTCATTTTAATTACACAATTTTTTGGAAATAAGAGAGTTCAGCAGTCAATTAAATATTAAAGTATTATTATACGTTGACGTGAGAAAAATTCCGGTGATATAAAAGTGACTATAAAAATGTACAAGCAATTCATTGTACGATGACTAATTATAAATTAATATTCCTACGTCTCACTTTGAGTTCGTACTCTATATCTATATGGGAGCACGTGTTAAGGTTGTATATATCTATTGCGGGGACGGACAGCTCGACGGACCAGCTTCGGGAACTGTTGGCGGGCACGGGACCTTTCTTCACCTCTACCACTTTGTCGCGTTCGCTCTTCGAGTCGGGATTGTTGACTGCTCGGTACGTTACCTCCTGCATATAGATAATAATTACACAGGATATTTCACACAGCACATATAGCACTAAACCGATTTTATACTATGGTGGATATAAAATAACTGTTAGAAATGCTTTAGTGCTGAGATGTAACGGAACCCTTTACATAATCATCAATTAACACTGACGCCCTCCTCAGATGGATCCCCCGTCCAATTTAAACGGGGATCGAAATTACGACGGCCTGAGCCGAGATTCGAACCCCTAGTGGTGCTTCCACTGATGGTTCACCAGCATGTTATAGCAGCGTTAGGTCAGGCATATGAGTCATAAAATAATGTATACTGACCTTTTTGATGGCTATTTTAATTTTTTCTATTTCTATATTGCTCTTATTCGAGCAACTCAACTCGATGGGCATGACTTGACCTGGACAGTACCCCGTGAGGGGCAACTTCAGCAGTGTCTCCGAGGATCCTGAATTTATACACCAGCAGCAGTACGAGTCGTTGAGTTGCAGCTGAATGGGATCCTGCAAATAGTTTAATTTCTTTGGTCGTGTTTGGTCGCCGGAGAGTCAACACGAATATTTGTGATCCCACACATGCTAATTATAGCGGAATTAAACAAAATGATATAAACCCATTAAGTAGTGAAATGGACTTCCGCATAACATGCAGCATGTATGTATCGCATTTGTATTCATATGCATGTAGTGTAAAACGGTTATTTCAATATTACAAACAGACACTCCAATTTTATTTATATGTATAGATAAAATGTCATACTATACATAAAAACAACCATAATAATAATAGCATCTAATTCACTTAATTATTAATAAATGTAAACTGTAGGTATACCTATGTATGTATATATGGAGCACAGATAACATATTATTACATAATATGGAGGTATATATATTATTCATTAATAATATTGTACAATATTTAATTCAATATCTCATTTTTATATTCTGAAATAGGACGAGTATAATAACATATATTAATTATATAATAATTTGTTTTAATTTGAATCTGTACTGTACTGTACTGTATACTAGTTCTACAGTATATCAATGGTAAAATATTTGGCGTACTGCCAACACATTTCATTCCTTACTATTACTGTTGTGCTTCACAATTTACTATTATCTGTAAGATTAGTACCTACAATCAAGAGCTTCGACATTCAATTGTACAATGAACTTGGATAATGGAATCTGGTGGCTATAATAGAGTTAATTTTATGGAAAAACGAAGACATTGTGGTTGATATGATTGGTATATCCAAGTCCTCCCCTCTAGAGCCTTTGGGCTTGTCTATAAGAGGTATAACAGTAGTCTCTTTTTCCGTGTGAAAAATGATCTCAAAGATCATCCACCCCGTGGGAAATGAGTGGGATTTCTGGCATTATTACCCAAATAAATTCATAGAACACACTTAGATCGATAAAAACAATCCTACTCATGAATAATACTTGTATCGTGTCAGGAATCGAACTGCCATCGGAATTAAAGCGGTGTGCTAGCCACTAACTAGACCACCGAGGTCGTTAAAAGTAACCTCTTAGTACTTGAACGAATATATAACTAGTTACTTACTTTAGCGTATTGCTCTCTGTTCAAGTCGAGTGGTGCCATTATCCTGATGGGTGCAGATATTTCCTGGTCGAGTTTAAACGCTCGGTCGACAACCACCTTCAGCTCGTAACGCACGTGTCCGTAGCTCCCCTCAAAATTCGACGGGCATGAGGGAGGGATATGAATGCTGAATGGGAACTCATGTTTGCCAGGTCCGAGATGATGGTCACCTGGAAAGATAAGATAAGCTGAGGTGAGGTAAGGTGAGGTGAGGTGAGGTGAGGTGAGATGAGATGAAATGGGGTCAGATGAAATGAGATAAGATAATTAATTTGGTCCAACATTTACGGTATAAATCTTACAAGTGTTTAGGTACAAACGTCCGCCTCATATTCAAGAGGCATGCAACTTACAATTCTCAATGACTGATAGAGTAATAAACAGAAAATTAAATAATGCTCGGCTACGCTCTCATTGGCCTTTGAATAAATATTTTTCTTTGAGAACACCCCAATAAAAAAAATCCAGTGATTATTGAGGCCTTTCAAAGTCGATAAATTTTGAAAATTATATATTTATGATTTAACAAATACTCGTTAATTCTAGAAAACTTGAGGCAATTGTATCATTATTTTTGACTATGGTTCTAGAAATGTTATTTAGGGTTATGGTTCCAAAGTTTAAATGAACAAAAATAATAAAAATGAACCGACCGAAAAATCGTTACAGTTTGACTAAATTTCTAGGATTTTCTCAAATGCCCATAATATTCAAACGATTTTTCTCACGTGACGTTGAGTTCTGGGGCAACCTTTATATATCACTACAAAGAAAAATAATTACTTTTCCTATTGCATATAACATTTCTTTTTATACATTATCTAGACACACGGTAGCGTGTCAAAGCCGAGTTTCAAGTAAGAGAACTGGCGAGCAGCACCGTGTGTATAATTATTATTATTTACAGTAGTATTTATATTATTAAACGAGTCTTAACGTTTCGACTAAATCGCACCAACCGTGGTCACGAGCTGACTGGAGTAACAGCGATGTCAATGTAGATAATAGATAGATAGATCGTTTTCGTTTCGTTTAATAATTTATATTAAACGAAACGAAAACGAAAGTTTAAAAGTAACTACAGTAATATGTGTTAGTTTAAACATTAATATAAAAACATAACAAATATATAGATAAAGCTTATTCGAAATGACCTCTATTGGCTGCAATATAGTACTTTAAACGATGAAAATTCCTCACTGTCAATCTTATGGATAGTGATTCCAAATTATCAAGGTGTTTAGAGCAAGCGATTCTCTAAAACTGACCCTAAATCATAATCCAACGGATAATCATTTATTAGAAAACGCGAAAACAAAATGAACATTCATAAAAAATGACAGATTCCAAATTCAAATGTAATATTTTGTTTATTTTTATTTGTAACCGTATTGATGGTCAGACTAATAATATTACGTACCCTAATTTAAAAAAAATTGTTCTCTAGAATGGCAACACAGGAGTTGTATCACGGGTGTCATATGATAAAGTGATGTAGCTTATTTGAAATTCGAATTACATAAAAAGGTAGTCGAATAATTTAAAGTAATGAATATGTAAGGCCTCGCGATGGATTGGTTGATATTCTTCGAACGATTATGTAATGATATGATAATGTGATACTGTTATATTCATATCACGCGACTAACCAATTCGCCACGATTTTGCAATTGGGTAATGGAAATCGAAAGAACTTTTTAGTTTCTGGTAATGTCGCAGGAAAACTGCATATTTGCTTTCTCAACGGTGGGCAGTTAAGTTTAAGAAAAAAAAAAGGTAGATTATGTCATGAGCATGGGTCTCTCTTTCTAAAAAAATATCTGTCTTGCTTATTCCTGCTAATCTCTGAAACGGTTGGATCGATTTTGACGCGATTTACACTCGCAGATAGTTAATGGTATAAGGAGTAGTACTTACAGTGCTTGTTTTTAGAAACATTAAAATTAACTCCACTCGGAGGTAGTTGCGTTAACAGCTATTTTTTATTATCTTACTTAGTACATAGTATAAAATGAACTCACACTCGCTATCTGTTTGATTACATCTTCTAAACTACGCAACGGATTTTAATGCAGTTTTTAGCAATATATAGAGTGATTCATGAGGAAGGTATATGTGTAACTATTGACAAAACAAATATATCTAAGTATTTACATCAGTTGTCTAGCACCCATAACACAATCTCTGCTTACCGTGGGACTGTGTTCATTGCCTGGGCAACGGTTATTTATGTACATACATACATAAATAACTATTGTCCAGGGTTATTTATGTATGTTTGTACATCCGTGCGAAGTCTGGTCAAGTAGTCAGTAATACATGTTATAATTTTTCTAGATAGAAAATTAGAAAGTTTTTTTTTTTTATAACACAGGGGACAAACGAGCATGCGGCTCACCTGATGGTAAGTGATTACCGCCGCCCATGAGCACCCGCAACACCAGGGGAATTGCAAGTACGTTGTCGGCCTTTTAAAAAGGAATAAGCTCTTTTCTTGAAGGTTTCAATATCGTATCGGTTCGGAAATACCATTGCTGGAAGGTGATTCCACAATGTGGTCGTGCGTGGCAAAAAGTTTCTAGAAAACCGCACTGTGGAAGACCGCCATTCATCCAGATGATCAGGATGGTATTTCAGTTTCTGGCGGGTGGTACGGTGGTGAAACTCAGCAGCTGGTATTAATCCGAACAATTCCTCAGAACACTCCCCGTGATATATGCGGTAGAAAATGCACAGAGATGCAATATCTCGACGCAGAGCCAATGGGTCGAGTCTGTCACATAGACGTTGATTACCAATGATTCTGGCTGCTCGGTTCTAAATGCGGTCAAATGGAAATAGCTGGTATTGTGGTGCTCCGGCCCAGAGATGAGAACAGTATTCCATATGCGGCCGGATCTGCGCCTTGTATAATTGCAAGCGATGGGCCGCCGTGAAATACCGTCTCACTCTACTGAGCACACCAAGCTTCTTTGAGGCTATTTTAGCCTTGTCCTCCAAATGACCGCAAAACTGAACGTCACTGGATATATCAACGCCAAGGACCTCGAGATTTGGCTTCACATCAAGGAGAGTGTCTTGAAACTGAGGAGATACGATAAATGGATTCTTTTTAGCGGTAAACGCGCAAACTTGTGTCTTCTTGGGGTTGAATTGAACACAATTTTCCTGACCCCAGACCGAAACTTGATGGAGTGAAGTTTCGATTTCGGACACAAGTTTGTTCCGGTACTCTATAACTTTTGCCTGCGACATATTAGCATGGCCGCTGTACAAGGCATCTCCGGTATTGTCACCCGCATAGCAATGAATGTTGTTGATTTGTAACATGTCATTGATATGCAGAAGGAACAGAGTCGGAGATAGCACACAGCCTTGTGGAACACCAGCATTCACAGAGTGTGGGTCGGAGCAAGCACCATCGACAACGATCTTGATGCTCCGATCAGCGAGAAAGCTGGCGACCCATTTGCATAACTTCGCAGGCAACCCAAAGGATGGTAGCTTTGAAAGAAGAGCCTTGTGCCAAACCCGATCAAAGGCCTTCGCAATATCCAGACTAACAGACAGGGCCTCCACCTTACTCTCAATAGCCTCTGCCCATCGATGTGTCAAATACGCTAGAAGATCACTAGCCGACCGACCCTGGCGAAAGCCATATTGACGATCAGAAATCAACTGGTTCACTTCTAGGTATCGTAGGAGTTGACGGTTGACAATCGACTCCATGATCTTTGAGAATAAGGAGGTGATGGCTATGGGCCTATAGTTAGCTGGATCTGAGCGTTCTCCCTTCTTAGGGATCGGATGAACCAAAGCCGTCTTCCAAAGTTTCGGGACTACACCTGTAGAGTAGCAGTACCGGAAAAGACGCGTTAGTACCGGAGCCAACTCAGGTGCACACGTCCTGAGCACAATAGCAGGAATACCGTCAGGCCCACTCGACTTGTGGATATCTAGGGAGAAAAGAGACTTACGTACCAGCTTTTGGGTAAATTTTACCTCTGGCATAGAAGTCTCACACCGCGAGATGACCGGCGGTGATTGCTCCCTATCGTCCAGTGTCGAGTTGGATGCAAAAAGAGACCCAAGGAGATCGGCCTTCTCTTTAGCATGTTGGGCCAACGAGTTATCCTCTCTGCGCAGTGGTGGAAAAGATGGCTGACAGAAATTTCCCTGAGCAGCCTTGGCAAGAGACCAAAAAGCCCGGGATCCAGATGGAAGACTGTTCAGTCTCCTACCAATTCTGCTGATGTGCTCCGACTTTGCTGTGGCTATAACTCTTTTGAAGGACCTGGAAGCGGAGTTATACTTCCTTTTATGGGCACTGGGATCTGGATCACTCGACTTCACAGCTGCAATCCAGGCACGGAAGCATTCCTGCTTATGGCGAGACGCCGATCTACAGGATCCGCCATACCAGGACTGAGATCTACCACCGACAGGTACCAGGGAATTTGGAATAAACATCTCCATTCCCTGAAGTACTACATCGGTGACAGATTCAGCTATTGCATCGGGATCGTCCAGTGCGAAGCAAACTCGCCCCCATGGGTAAGATGCAAAAAAACTTCGCATCTCATCCCAATCTGCCGACTTAAAATGCCAAACACGACGTCGACCAATAGATCGCGGCAAAGAAGGACGCGTGAGAGGCACTTCGCTCCGTATCAGACAATGATCAGAGGATCCCAGTGGGGCTTCCACAGAGATCTGATATCCGTCCGGATGAGAAGTCAGCAGAAGGTCTAACAGTGAAGGTATTATTAGTATTAGGTTTATATAATTGTATATGCATATTGGTAAATCTAATCCTCCAAATAAAGATGGGTGACACTGCATGTTGTCAACTCACCCGGCCGGCCAGCGGTGGTTCTGGGCCAGACGGATAAGGTCTGCCTCGGTGTCACTGTTAGGCAAATTGTAACATCTCGGCTGGAGTTGTACAAAAATGGAAATTAAATAAATATTATAATATTAAAGTAAATTAAAAAAGGCACGGACGAATATGTCTGTGGAAAAATGTATTTAAATATAAAAAAAAAAAAAAACAGTGAAGGTATATGGTCAACAACATCAGGAATTCGCGTAGGCGAGGATACCAGTTGCGTCAAACCATATGCCAAAGCAAAGCCATGAACAGATCTCCCCGCATAGTCGGTGGTACGTGAACCGAGCCATTCAGCGTGATGGGCGTTGAAGTCACCTAGAATCACGACCTCAGCGGAGGGAATCTGTTGGAGCAAAAAATCTGTAGCCATTTGGACGTGTTCAATGAGTCGGTCAGTTTCGGTGTTACCGCTATGGGACCTGTATAAGCATGCATAGATGCGGGGGTGGTCATCGCAATCTACACGCAACCATAAAATGGACAGGTCAGTACCTTCAAGTGTACCAAGACGGAGACAGCAAATATCCTCTCTGACATAAGCGCACACACCGGCCTGTGGAATAAAATGGTGTTCCAATTTATATCCAGGGTAGGTCAAGTACGAAATTTCGTCGGGACAGGATATTTGCTTCTCCGTAAGGAAGAGCAAAGCCGGCCTCGCCGTCTCAAGATGGTGGTGAACGGCGTTGAGATTGGAATGAATTCCCCTGATGTTGCAAAAACTGACTATGAGCAAGGGAAACGCCGATGGAGATTTGCTCGGTTTCCTTCTGGCCAAATTGAGCGGAGAATTGCCCACCCCAGAATACGCAGGGCAGCCTGAGTGTGATATCTCAGGGGTGGATTCTCCAGTAACATGGTTACTGGTACCACCCTGGGGTAAAAATCTCTTATAATCCGCTGCCATGGTATGTAAGAAAGGGGTGGGTAGGGGAAGGAAGTAGGAAAGGGATAGGGGGAGGGGGAGGGGCGTCCGGAACCTACAGCTCACCATGCGAAACGCGATATCGCTTAACGCCGGTTTTCTGCCGAGGTGTGGTATTTCCCGGTTCGAGCGGCCCAATCGAGCTGAACAACCACGTGTGGTCGTACAGCTTGCTCTACCACAAAAAAAATAAAGAAAGTACACATTTCCTATACATTTCTGTAATATGTGAAATACTGGTGCAGAATGACGTCATTCACGAAACAGTAAAGCAGATCAATATTCTGCGTTGTGGACGTCAGCGATGCCACGCCGTGAGGGCTAGTAAAAGGGATGACCGACATCAGAAAAACATCGATATCGAAAACGATGTACGAGTATATGTACCTATTCAAGTAAATAAAATTGAAGTGTCTGTTTAATATTATGTTATCTGTGGTCTGCTTGTAATTTCAAATTAACAGCTTTTCACTAAATGCCTACTGAAAGTACTTACGGTACTTACATAAAAAAACATTTAAAAAAATGTTGATTGTGTATTATCCAACCGTTTCATAAATTAGCATAAAACAATACACTTTTGTGCTAATTTATGAAACGGTTGTATCAATTAATTTGACGTGATTATCACTAGAAGATTGGTAATGAATACGCTTTTGGAAATTTTATTTATTTTAATAAAAAAAAGTTAACTTCCACTCGGACAAATTCGCGGGTATCAGCTAGTATACATCATTACACAGTATAAGACAAAGTCGCTGCTGCTCTCCCTGTGTATGCATAAATCTTAAAAACTACGCAACAGCGGTTTTTTTAATAGATAAGAGTGAGTCTAGAGGAAAGTTTATACATATAATACATGTACCATACCCGGACGAAGCCGGGCGATTAGCTAGTACATTATAAATGAAAATTCTTTGCCGCATCTATCTGTATATTCGCGATAATTATAAAAACTACTGAACTACTACTTTTCATGTAGTTTTCATAATCAACACTTCAACAGTGTTATTTCTGAGGAAGGTTAAAGTGCATAGTATATTAAGGTTTTGAATAAATAAGGTACAAATACCCGTCCGAAGTCGCGGCACTGTAGTATAACAAAACGAAGGTGTTTCCACTTAACCTTAACCCGTTACTGTTCTGTTCTTATTATTATTACTAATCTTGTTTTTTTGGACTTGGGACTAAGCCTTGTGTCCATGTTATCAACGACCTATCGGAATTGTTAGTAATGTGGACTGATGATCATTGCTAGTAACGCGGTTCCCACTGGAAACCATCATTTTAAATTCTGATGGAGATATTCGCCACGATGGGATGTCATGGTCATTCTATCATCATTCACTGGTGTCCCGCCAGTGAAAACCGGTAGCCCAGGCGGGTAAGACATTCCATTACCCATGTTTTGATAACATAAATTAATTATTAGATATTTAATTTAAGTATATTAATATTATATTATAATTTAATTTAAATATATAGTATAATTTAATTTGAATATAATATAAGAAGGTTCTACCTTCTTATATCATATTTAAATTCGTGACTATTCAAAAGTGCTTAAATTAAGTTTATTTGAATAAAGATTATTTCTATTTCTGTTTCTGTTTCTATTTCTATTTCTACATACACATTGATATTTTTCAAATGAATTAAAAAAAATATTGATATGTTATCATATATCGATATTTTAACATTAATCTTTAATGAATATGGACCATAGATACCTAGTTAATAATACGTGCGATAGAAAGCATGGAATAACTATTTATCTTAAATTACAGTTTTATCTTCTCTGAAATTAAAATCATTCACTGTTTTATTTAATAGCAGACAGTGACCTGGCGGTTAAAACATAGTCAGTTTAAACCACCTCCGATGGTCGCGGCTTCAATTCCTTGCACTGTACACCTATTTTGTAGTCATGAATATTATTATTTGTATTGGTCTATGTATACATACATGTATATAATAAGTATATCTATAAGTTGTCTGGTACCCATAACACAAGCTCTACCTAGATTGGGACTAGATTGCGCTGTGTAATCTATTGGACAGACAGAATGTAGTTCATTTGGGAATAACATACAGTCAAGAAAAGACAAACAATATATTAACAACAAAATAGGTTAAGTTAGGATAAGTTATGTCATTAAGCTGTTACTAACACAATGGATCATGTTGTCTGAAATAAAAATTATTATTATTATTATTATTATTAAAATGTATAATTCTAATGATGCGACATTCTGGCTGAAAGCAATGTTATCAAATAGTTTATTATTCTAATTTTAATTATTATAGAGATAATAACTAGCTGTGCTCGCGACTACGTCCGCGTGGAATAGACGATGACGAATTTCTATACAAACATTCATCCCCTGTATCATTTTACTTCCTTAAATTTATTTAAACAAACTTTAGATCTTATTACACTTAATCAACTTATACTTAATCAACGTCCTAAAAAAATTCTAGTTTTAAATAATATGAGGATACTTCTATATAATCTTTCATCTTACCTTTCAAATATTAACAATTTTTGGCATTAAATAGTAGTCTATTTAATACCAAAAATTATTATGATTTGAATCATAAATGGAAATTTGCAGAAGAACCAGAGTGACCGACATAACCCGAACAATTGCAACACTGAAGTGGCAATGGGCAGGGCAGCTTGTAGGACAGATGGCCGTTGGGGCAGTAAAGTCCTCGAGTAGCGACCGCGGACCGGAAGACGCAGCGTGGGCCTCCAGCAAGGTGGACCGACTCTGGTCAAGATCGCTGGAAGGCATCGGATGCGAGCAGTGCAGGACCGATCGTCGTGGAGATCTTTGGGGGAGACCTTTGTTCAGTAGTGGACGTCTCCCGGGCTGAGATGAAGAAATAGTAGTCTACGTCCGTCGTTTTCGAGTGTGCTTACGAGTACATGAATCATTGCTATATCATTTCGAGTGGAATGATGCAGCCATAACTTATTTACCTCCGACTATGACTAACATTCATTATTCACGTTATTTTTTCAGCATGTTTATAAAAGAAATATAAAATTCACTCCATAGTTTACAAAAAATATGGGTGGATGTTTGATACCCTTTTATGCAAAAACTACTAAACGTATTTTGATAAAACTTTACAGTAATATAGTTTATACATCACAATAACGTAAAGGCTGTAAATCGCGGGTGAAACCGAGGGCACAGCTACCTAGTACAAATAAATTAAAAAATGTATTGATTCAGAAACTAAAATATTTTATTCTAATCAGTCTCACCACTGTTGCCGCCAGCAAGGAACACCTTGTGGTCGATATATTCTTCGTACGAGTTGTGGTCGACTGTGTAATGCTCGGTACGGTCGTTGACCCTGCGTGTATGGTCAGTGCTCCAGTGGACGTCACAATACCCACGCATTCTTATGTAAATACCTAAAAAAAATATAAACAATTTTACTCAACTTTAATAACCGACACCGAGATAAGCTGTAACAAGCTCTCTGAAATACAGAGTTTCACAACTTTTTTAGTGTCATACCCCTACCTTTGTCCCTAATAACATAGCTACATATTTTATAAAATTAAAAAATTGAAATGTTAAGAATCTTAAAGACTATAATAGGTTATAGGAAGAAATCACTAGTAAATTGTCAACGGAACTGTAAATTTTCAAAACATATAAGTATAATATATATATACCCCTATACCATAATATATATACCCTCCTACACCTCCCCCTGTGGGGCGTGGGCCCATGTTGGGAAACTCTGAGTTAAAATAAAGACTAACAATTTGACTTAAATGTACGCAGACTAAGATTGCCTGTCTAACCCCCACAATCTTACAACATAAAACTATGTATTATTATGTTATCTGTGCTAAAACAAAGTTAATATAGGTACTTTAATAAACCAAATCAAACGAACAAACCAAGGTACACTGTAAAAAATCGTTTATATTGGTACCTCAGATTCACATATTCAGCCGCCAAGCAACTTGCCTTGTAAAGTGAGTTACGGCTGGAAAAAGGGGATTTTTAGTAATGTGGAGTGAAAATCCCATTGCTATCAATGTACCATGTCAAGTTGATCTCCACGCGCTTTCCCCTGGAAACTATCATGATAAATTTCTAGTGAATTTGTTACGATGGGCAAACTGACTTGACCATATACTCATATTATCATTCGCCAGTGCCCCGCCAGCTTAAACCGTTAGCACAAGCGGCTGCATAATTCCATTGAAATGTTTCGGTTGTAGGGTACAGATTAGGCAGTGAAATTACAGGACAAGAGCCATGCCATCTTATTTCACTGGAATGACAGCGCATGAGTGGTATCACAAGAAAACTGTGTTTCGGTTGTAGGGTACAGATTAGGCAGTGAAAGTGCATGGAAAAAGGCATGACATCTTTGTTCATAGGAATGGCAACGTTTGTCATATGATAAAATGATATCCGTGTCCCGTATCCAATTTTATCTCACAAAGCAGCCAAAGTCGCTGACAGTGTTGCCAATTTGGCATATTTTATGCTAAATTTGGCATATTTTTACGGTGTTTAGCATATTTATTTGTCGTTTAGCATATAGCATATTTTGACCATGAAATAAAACGATTCTAATAACACCTTTGCAGATTTATCACAGAGAGCGATGTCGTTACTGTCACTACCACATTCTAACGCAGAAATTGAACGAGTTTACAGTCAAATGAATCTAGTTAAAAACAAACTTCGCAACCATTTATGAATAAAAACTTAAATGCTATTTTATACATCAGATTCGGTCTAAAGAGGGCAGGGAAATATTGTTATCCCATCAAAAACATAAATGTGAAATGATAGTCGAGTTTAATATTATGATATAAGCCTTGATTGTTGACTTCTACGACAAAAGAGGTGAGATCTAAATGGGTGCCAGTTCAATGGTCTGTCCTGAAATATATTTATAACAATATAAAATATCATATCTTCTTATAACTTAGGATAATATACTGTAGCCTAAGGTCTAAAATTTATTTGATATTGGAAAATGTTAGCATATTTTTTAGCATAATTTTATGACAATTAGCATATTTTTGGCATAATTTTAAGAGCAGTTTAACAAATTTTGTAGTAGTCGTGTTGGCAACACTGAGTCGCGGGTAACAGCTAGATTGGTAATCCAAAAGTTGGTTTCGTGTGTGCTGATGTCATAGTAGACACTAACAATAGTAAATTGGAATTTATTATTACTATTCTCCTATGGATCAAAATACCAGTAAAGGCCTGTATGAAGAGTGGTGAAATAGACTGTAGGTATTCCACATAAAGTACAGTTTACTCCCAAAAATATATGCGTCTAGAATATTTTTAGCTCTGTTCATTTGTTGCTCTCGACCATGAACTGTCGACTATACATTGTAAAAAAAAACATTCGGAATAACACTTATAACTGTAGCAATAGGGGCGGTTTTTGTTGAACTGTAACTCAGAATAAAATTGTACATTTGTTTCCGTACTTAGTAGGTTTAATAAATGATGACAATGGGATTACTCAGACACATTTGGATTTTCTTTGCGTTGTAGAATCTATATCACGGATTATCTATACATTAATACGTGAAGCAAAATTTTGTACGCCTTTTTAAGAAAATTGCGCGGAAGTAGGAATTCTTAAGAATATATTTCGCACACTTATAGTTTGTATAGAAACGGAGTGCAGAATATATTTTTTTTAATTATTCATATAAAATACAATAAATCAAAAGAAATATATTTCAAATAAATAAAATGCTAATTTGCGTTTCACATTGAATTAGGCCGTTCCCGCCATTTTACAATCAGACTCCTCAACTGCACAGACATCATAAACTATATTTATACTATGTAATATTATATTATCTGTGTTTATACTATATGATTATACCTTAGACATATATTATACCTAAGACTATATATACTACACATATATACTACATATTTTGTTAATTGTTAGAGTCATCATGATGATATATTCTTGTATTTGATTTAATATTTGCACAGGTCAATGATATCATATAGATATTGTGGTAATAAATAACTAATGAAATACCTAGATACATAGTAAATTTTTGGCAAATCACCAAAAGTGACGGGACCGTCACGGTTATAAGAAGTGTTGCACCCGGGCGAACGTGTGATTTGAATGGTAAACAAGCTAACGGGCCGTCTGGTGGTAAACGGTAATCATCGCTTATAAACAGGTACAGCACTACAGAATTTTTTTTTTGCCCTTAGACTAAAGTCGTAACTGTCGGGCGGCGTTCAGCCGCTTCTGGAAGTTCTTTCGCGGGGTTGGAGTGCCTTCTGCAGTCGCCCAGCTGCGGCCAACAGCATTAGAATAGTTAAAAAAATATATAAAAATTATTATTATTAGAACCTAACGTAGTATATGAACTTATAGGGTCCATCGCGTTATGCTCTAATATGTTGTAAGCTTGTAAATATAAGTAACGAAATGTAAACATGTGTTAGACACCACCAAGCAGTGCCGGTTTTAGCACTACCAGCGCCCTGGGCGAGATTCATACGGCGCGGCGCCCCTCTCCCCCTTAATTTACTCACGCCTTCTAACTGCAAACCCATTCGAAAAAACTGGCCAAACACGAATTGGATTCGCATTCGAAGGGTTCCGTACCAGCAAATAAAAAAATATTTTAAAGTACTTACGTTATAAGCAGGCGAATATTTAAAATTATGATTATATCATAGAGGTAAGAAAGAAAATATTCATATATATTTTTATGATTTTTTTAAGGTTTCGTCACAAATATTCAGTTATCAGATTTATTCCGGTACTTGTGATCTATAACGATGTTTCTTGCCGAATCTACGTAGGTCACAAAGGGCCCGGTTTGTGCCCGGCGCCCTGGGCGGCGCACAACCGCGCCCTACACTAACGCCGCTACTGCCACTAAGCCTATATCTGTGGGCTAATTATGTAACACGATATGAAATTGTTTCTGTTGAAGTTGTGATGCAATATAAAATCATTTCAATTTAAAAAATGCGATCAAGTAAGGTCGAATGACCGCAACATAAATCATTTCTATCGATAAAACACTACTATGAAGTTGCAGCGGAATATTGTTAATCCGACCAATTTAAAAAGTCAGTACATTAGATAGCTTATACCTTTAGAGGGATACATTTTAAATTATTGGGTTAATACACTAGTTGGTTGATTTGAAACAATTTTTATTGCGTTCAAAAATTACAAAATATACTGCAGCGTTCACTTGTTCTTTTATTTTAATTTTATTAATAGACATTTAATAAAATAAAATAAAGAAAGTCTATTCTATTCTAATGAAAAAATAAGGTTAATAATTTTGAATATAAAAGCATATTTTATACAAACTATTTATAATCATTAATAATATTAATCTAACCTACAAATTAAATTTTCTTTTCTGCTATAGATACCTAGGTAAGTACGTAAGTATCCATATAAATTTAGAATGATATGGGCACATCTTTTTAAATTTGTACATAATTGTAAAAACTTTAAACAAATAAATTTATTTACTTTAAACAAATCACAGAGCATCATAAACGTTGTATTCCGTTCACAGAGCACCGTATTCATTGAAATAGTTTTTTAATTATATTAATATCATAATCAACCCTAATTTTATATTAAACATTTACTCTAGTTAATACAACATTCTATGTGATTTGGGACGAAAATAAAATATCGAATTGGCAACACTGATGTCATGTTGTGAGTCGTGACAATTTTCCCATTTTAATAAATTTAAAACCTTTTCACGACTTTCTACGTAATATTTAATATAATAAAAATATATGTAATACTGAAAATTACCAAAACAAGATAAATAATGCTGCTAATGCTGATATTTTAAAGATTGTAACCAAAAGAAACACCTTCTAAATTGTTTCTCATAATGTAAAAACCGTTTCAATTCCACGCTGTCATTTCGGCAAAATAGCGATTACGTGACGTTGCAACGAGGTTACTAAATCGACATTCGATAGAAATAATTTTTATCGATATGTAAAGTTGCGTTTACGTTGCAATGCTAGTTGACAGCGTCAAATGGCGTCAATATGATCGCATTATTGACAGATGACGTCATTTTCACAACGTTACATACGAAAATCGTTGCGAACGAAGTTACATAATTAGCCCACTGATAATGCCTCTGACATATCTGGTATAAAAGTCATGAAGGAATTTTTATAATTTATTATTACTCATAAATATTAAGCACAACCCCGGCACTTGTATAGTGCGGAAGCGATGGCGATAGAAATGCAATCGACCAGAAGCTAATTTTATATTTATAAGTAAAAAATCTTATTATTTGTGGACATTTTCAGACAGGGAAGGATGTAGATACCTATTAGGATTTGTTCTCGTCAGAGCAACTAGGCCATAGATTTTTTATAAACGATGTCGGATACATCCTCAGAATATTTAGATGTAGCATGGGAGCGGTTGCTTCCTGTTTGTTAACAGTGTTTCCATTACCGGCAAATCAGTCATACAGTCGCCAGATTCAAATCTTAATCTAGATAACTAAATCGGAGCTGTAAACGCCTACAGAACGACCATTCCAAAAAATTAAGCATTGCATAATTAGGTGAACAGGTTTGCCTTATTTTTTTTTTAGTGTAGGTATTTGGATTCGGCACTAACCTCGAAAAGTTTTTTGTTTGTCCCGCTCATATATCAGTCGGCCGTGAATCGTTTGGCCTGAATAATACGCATTGTTTGGACTGTCTAGAACTATTTCAGCACCATTTAAAGTCATTTTCCACTAATTTTATTCTGGCAGATGGAATATATTATAAGAAAAATGCACGATACGAGCTAACCATCAACATCACACACTAAATAAAGAACTGCCTTTAAACCAGCCAGTGTGTACAACTCCCTGTCTGTATAAAAATTACTGTTTCGTTTCGTGTTTATAATTACGGTGAAAATAGAGATAAAATACTGTACCCATTCATACAAACGTACAGTCTGCCATAAAATTCAATATAATCATTTAATATTACTATTTATCATTGAAAATAATTGTATAATCTATGAAAAATCAACATTTTATTGTTTTCTTGGATTTATTCAATGTATTAAAATTTTCAAATTTTATTAAAGTTTTCGAATTCACAGAGACTTTTTTAATATGTCAAATAATATTGCACTTGTTGTAGAAGAACATAGGATCAGTCTGACTCCTGGGTCCTAATCCGTACATATAAATAAAATTGGAGTGTCTGTTTGTAACATTGAAATTTTTTACTACATGCATATGACACATACACGGAAATAACATTTTTTTGTCTATTTGTAATATTGAAATAACCGTTTTTTACTACATGTATATGAATGTAAATACGGTACATACAACAAAATAACATTTTTTGTCTGTCTGTCTGTTTGTTCCGGTTAATTTCAAAAAAATTTCAGAGAAATGGCTGGACCAATTTTGATGGGATTTTTTTGGGAGGTACGTAGCTGATGTAATAAGGAGTAAATTAAGATACTTTTACTTTAAAAAAATATTTTATTTTAGAAAAATAATTTCCACGCGGATTTAACTTTATATTTTTACAGCAAGTACTAGATAAATTCGGTATATTGAATCCACCTTTTGTATATAACAATAACGTTGAGATACTGATGACCATAAACTATTCCTGTACAGCTTGTGCCATACCCATCAGTGTTGTATGAAAACTAGTAATAAAATTTAAACGAACATATAAAAGGAATATTGTACTTATAATATTACTAATGTAATTGCCTTTTTTTTACACATAATTACATAAACACAAATAATAATTATCAAATTCCATACATAAATAATTTCTTCTATTCAAAAGTTAATCAGTATTTTATATAGTGGACTATAAATTTAGACTCAGTAATTTTGATATAGAGAGTAACAGGCACCGCACTCCGTAAAAATTACTGCAGCTTAAAATACTAAATAATAAAAATTCTTTCGGAGTCGTAACTGTGTGCACTCGTAATGATTTTTCTACGGTAGATTGTCATAGAAAATACGGTAAACTTACAGTGTAGTTGGATACACAGATTCTAACCAATAAGCTCAACGCATTTGTTCACTCATTCATTGTCATTCATATTTCATTCACTGTTTTAGTTAGCATTTGTCAAAAACATTTTGCCAGTTTCCGCGATTGCCAACCGGTTGCTTGAACGATTGTGTTTTACGTTCATTGAACTTCATTTCGCGGCGGTCTTAACTTTATAAGTCGTGAAAACCAGCGTGTTTCGTGTTTTATGACAGAAAGAAATATACTTCTAAGAGAGACAATAACTTAATAAAACTAAGAGAGTGTTTGCATTTTGACATTGTTTAAAAAGAGGCAGAATTATGTTTATATTAAATTCGAAGTTTGATATTTTTATACGGGAAATATTTTCTTAGAAATATATTGTATAAAGCTAAATAATATTACTAAAAAATGGGTTCGCCACAGAAGGATATAGAACTTAGCCCTGTACGGTCGGAAGGGAATGGAAACTCAAGTAAAATACCGGCTGGTGAAAAATTAACATTGCCCGTAAATGATGAAGAGGACGTAATAATCGGTAGATTCAGGAAGATAAGTTCGGCTAAGTCAATGGCAGCCACCAACGGGAATATTCAGTATCCCAGTGAAGCGACGCCTAAGGGAGAAGACTTAGAAGCAGGTCTTCATTTCAGTGCAAAAGAATCGACTGAAAAGGACAGGCTGCTATCAGATATCCTCACCCAGGGGTCGGCTATTGTGCAGCCCTCCACATCACCAGTTACGAAGAGTAGTTTCCGGGATGTTGAGAAACCGTCCAGGTTTAAGGATCAACCGTCAGCGACCAGGTTTCAAGTGAGCATTTTTATTTTTAAATATACATAGTAAATAAGGTACATATTATACTATATGCAAAATAAACATATGGTCCATTTGTGTTAAAGTTTTGGTGAAATAAATTTATCCTTTTTGCATATAATTATAACTTTTGTAGGATTATTTTAATTAATTAGTTTTACCTCAGTATTTAGGCGAACTGATGGCACTTTATCCTTTACTGATATCAGCGTTGTTTAGTTCTGAATAATTATTACTTCATTACTCCATTTAAATTAATATGAACTGATTTGATATGAGGAAATAATCATTGGATCTCTTATTCCGATTTGAGAAATTCTTTAACTGTTTGAGAGGTGCAGTAATAAGGCTATATATTATACTAGCCGACCCGACTGACATGTCTAACTATAAATATTGAATTAGTAATTAACTTTTATAATGGTCCGCACTTTTGTAAGAATCTTTTCCTAAAAGTAACAAATACAACAAAAAATGAATTAGGGAAACTGTCTAGCTGTTCACACAGATTCTCTGACGAAGGAAAATAGGGATTCATTTATATATGTACATACATTACAGATTAGAAAATATATAGACAAAACCAAATAAAGTCATGGTAGGCCAGTCTAGTCAGTAGTCATTCATAAAAAAGAGACAATGTACAGGATTTACATTAGATTTATAGATAATTTGTACAATGTATTACAATGACACATGTGGTAATTAACTTAATAATACTATTGTTTCTGGATTGGAACAATGTGGTATACATTCTGATTTAAATGTTATTGCGATAAGGCTACACAATTAATATAATTAAAATTTTTTTTACAAATAACTGGCCATCAGACCAATAAGGCATCATTTTACAAATAAATTACCATCTAGACTAAAAATTTCTTGCCTAGCCAGCATCTCAAAAAATAAATGAGATGGCACCTCACTGGATGTGCCTTATCTCCTAATGCCCATAACACAGAATACAATTATAGCTCGAAGGGCTGATGCAGATGTAAAAGAAATAAAAAGAAAACAAAATATTCTTGTACTTCATCTAATCTAATCTAATCACCTAATCACCATAAAGTTTAAGAATATTTTAGTTTAAAAGAAATATAAAGATAAAAAATATTTTTTTATAATCTTAATACTAATAAACGTTGAATATAGTAGTACTATATTCAACGTTTTTACTAGATTCAACCTGCTGAATTCACAAATGAGGATTGGTTGATTGGGATGTAGATTCTCCATCCCAAATACTAACATATTGTACACCAATTTTTACATTATTGTCACTAGGGGTTACCATAAACTGCACATATGTTCTATATGAGAATCTTTTTTTTAATTGATATGGCAACACCATGTCACAAGATTTTTGTTAATGAAGAGTTAACTTTTTAATATATCTATTATATTTATAATAGATATATTGAAAGTTAACTCTTCATGGACCATGGACTATGAAGATGAACTATCTAAATTATTTAATTTGGAACCTGGATAGTTCATCTTCATAGTCCATGGGTGGCCTCCATTGTCATTGTAATCACCAATCAATCAATCATCAACCTTCAAACAAAATTCTTGCCTCATTAATTTTCATTCATTCATTCATTATCACTGATGAACGAAGGCAAAAATTCATCAATTATCACTGATGATTGTTGAATGAAAGCAAGAGTTTTGTCATCAGTCACGAGTTTACGAGCGGTTAAATAATTAAGATAAATACATAATATACCTGAATATTAATAACAATACGTCTGTATTAAGACAATACGTTGCTTTATTTGGGCAGTTGTGTAATAAACATAATGTTTGTCTATGCTTTTATGGTCCATAAGGTACTTAATCGCGCATCAAACTTCGTCATATGCGCACATGTTCTGTACAATAGACCATAATCTAGTCTGTGAACAACACATCTGGGACGGAATTACAAACTATTAACACATCTATAGGTACTATTATTATAAAGCCGAAGAGTTTGTTTGTTTGAACGCGCTAATCTCAGGAACTACTGGTTCGAATTGAAAAATTATATTTGTGTTGGATAGTCCATTTAAAGCCTTCCTCGATAGCCAGCTAGCTAGCGAAGCTATATTACGCTACGACCAGTAGGGGTGGAGCTGCAATGAAAAATATTGCAAAAGGTGGGGAAATTAAACAAAAATCAAGTTGCGCTGGTCAGCTAGTTATCCATATACCTAAAAGTCCCTCGCTTCTTCAAGTACCATTAAAAGAACATACATTAAAGCGGCATGTTTCCGACACCTATCTATAAAAATCGTGCTGTTATGAAATTTTCTCCAATAACTAAATAAATCCACGGACCGGAAGACGCAGCGTGGGAAGGCCTCCAGCAAGGTGGACCGACGATCTGGTCAAGATCGCTGGAAGGCATTGGATGCGAGCAGCGCAGGACCGATCGTCGTGGAGATCTTTGGGGGAGGCCTATGTCCAGCAGTGGACGTCTTCCGGGCTGCGATGATGATGATGTACTAAATAAAACCGGATAAAATTTTGTCTATAGGATAAGGGAAGTAATATCAACGTTTCTAATTATTCAGTAGAAGTAACTAATAAAAAAGGACCTATCTTTAGTTCATTCGTAGGAACAATCAACAGGACAGAATAAAAAAAATACATTGGAATGATCAGAATAACGAAACAAAAAGTACCTTCATATTTACTGTATTGATAGCCGAGTAGAAAGGAACGTAAATATTTACTGCAATATTTCGATTGAAAGTAGCGCTATCGCGCTTGAGAGACGCAAGGTCTCTATGATAGAACGAACACTGAAGAATATGTACATCGAATTTCATTATATTAACGCATTCCTCTTAAAGGACAGTTGTAGATTACAACAGATCTTATGTGTCAGGCAGGAGTTAGCCTTCAGCTGCTCTATAATTCATCTGCGGGCTTGGAGTGCCCTCCACACTCGCCGGTACTGATTTAATTTTCGCCCTGTCACGCCAGTACCCAGGCGGGTGCACCATTTTTTATTTTATTGAATAATAGAATGGTTCACCCGCCTGCACTAACGCTTTACGCTGGTGGTGCGTCTGTGGAGGATGATAAGATAAACGTGAGGTCAGGTCAGGTAGCGCATGGTGACAAATTCACCAGGAATTTATCATGATGGTTTCCAGGGGAACTTTTTGGAGGTCAACTTGAGATGGTACATACATTGCTAGCAATGTAACTGCATTACTAATAATCCCCCATAAATAAACTAGTGGGGGAAAGGCCCCCCACTAGTTGGTCTATTTATTTAATTACTATCATTTTATGAGTGTTCTTAGTTCTACCATATATTGTTTTTAAGGATACCAGGAGACTTATAGCACAGGGAAACAGTTTGGGCTTTTTTCTTGTTAGTTTTGTTAGTAATTGTTAGTAATGTAGTCAATAGTCCACATAACTGACAATCCCGTTCCTTCTTATTATTACGAAATATCTTCTGAGTATTAATGATTCGAATACTCGAAATGATCAAGTACAAATTAGATTAAGATACTGCGTGTAATAATAGTAATAACATCTCAAGACAATTTCATAGCGCCATCTAATTCCAACCAAAGCTTATGTTATGGGTACTAGTCCATACACAGATAGTCAATACTGATACAAATACACAGATACAATTTATTGTACACTAGCGGTTCCAGCGACTTCGTCCGCGTGGAATTTAACTTTAATTTTCTAAAATAAAAGTAGCCTAAGTTACTCCTTATTACATCAGCTACCTGCCAAAAAAAGCGTCAAAATCGGGGAAAAATAAATAAAGAGATTAGCCGGCACAAACAGACACATAGATAGACAAAAATTGTAAAAAAAATATTTTGGTGTATGTACCGTATTTAAATTCATATACTTACATGTAGTAAAAAACGGTTATTTCAATATTACAAACAGACACTCAAATTTTATTTATATGTAAAGATATATAGATAATATACATAGAAAACACCTATACCAATACGGTAATGCTATTGTTAGTGAAATAAAACAAGTATAGGCGCGGTTTATAGTACCCCAATTAGTTTTGTTTATAGCCGCCGAATAATGTGATTGATGAAATGGATTGCCCCCCATCACCAAATTGCCAATAGATTGCTTTGCTCTAAATTAATTTGTATGTCTATTACTGCAATAAACGCATATAGTGTGCACGCTTATTATTTGAAACTAGCTGTTCCTGCGACTTCGTCCGCGTGGAAATAACTTTATTTTTCTAAAATAAAAGTAGTCTAAGATCCTTATTACGACGGCTACCTGCCACAAAAAGTCCCGTCAAAATCGGTTCAGCCATTTCAGAGATTAGCCGGATCAAACAGACCGACAGACAGACAGATAAAAATTGGAAAAAATGTTATTTTAGTGTAGGTACCGTATTTATATTCATATGCATGTAGTAAAAAACTAAACATAAATATACATTTTTATTTATATCTATAGATAGAGAGTAAAACAATATTTTTCTTATACGTTTATTGGATAAGCTTGTACCGAAAGGATTTTCTTAGTAATGGGGATTGTTTGTATTTGAAATAGGACCGCGTGGAGGTTGATAGTAATATAACCTGTTAACCTCCACGCGGTCTTCCTTAATTCTATCGTGGTTAAATCCTACCTATATCCCCATATAAGGTTATTACTTCCACTTCTTCTGGGTTACACTACTTCTGGGTGCCACGCCAGCGTATACCGTTATTTAGAAATATCATTCCATTATCATTCACATTCTTCCCAAACCCTCATATTACTTCCACTGGTGCCACGCCAGCGTATACCGTTATTTAAAAATCCCATTCTATTATCATTCACATTCCTCCCAAACCCTCATATTGCTTCCACTGGTGCCACGCCAGCGTATACCGTTATTTAAAAATCCCATTCCATTATCATCCACATTTTTCCTAAACCCTCATATTGCTTCCACTGGTGCCACGCCAGCGTATACCGTTATTTAAAAATCCCTTTCCATTATCATCCACATT